CGGTAACGTCGTTCGCGGTAACGTCGTTCGCGGTAACGTCGTTCGCGGTAATGTCGTTCGCGGTAACGTCGTTCGCGATAACGTCGTTCGCGGTAACGTCGTTCGCGATAATGTCGTTCGCGGTAATGTCGCTCGCGGTAATGTCGTTCGCGGTAATGTCGTTCGCGGTAATGTCGTGTCACGATAGCGAAGGTTGCTGGTAAGGAAAACATGTTGTGCTGTATGGTAGTGAGTATTGGTAATTAGTCAACGGGAAAACAGTTGAGTTTGACTCGTTTTTCAATTTACTTGAATTTAGCACTCGGTTGTTTTCCGAATAATTCAAAAATAATAAAAGATAGAGACTTGTGATTTCGACAATCGAAATAAGACAGTTTAGCCTATGTTTCATAAGCAAAACACTTTTGCGAAACCATTCGGAAGACCGAATTTTTAGGATATCTTCGGAAAACCACTTCGGTTCTCCGGAAACTTCAACTCGATTGTTGAAAATTGCAAGTCTTTATCTTTTATCGTTTTGGAGTTATTCGGAAAACAACCGAGTGCCTTGAATCTTGGCGCCGATAGTAGACAGGAAAGAGAAATTTAAACGCGGCTGAGTGAATGTTCGTCACAGTATTGGCGGTTCAATACCCACACCGTTATCATGATAGTTTTTGGAGGTTAACTAGCGATTCTCTCTCCCCGACTCTTGTTCAATTTATGTGACGTTTCCTTGACTTTTAGGAATTTATGTGAAATTGAGTGAATTCACGTGAATTTTGAATTTATTTGAATTTAACAAGTAAATTCAGTTGTAGTAACTCTCCCTAGTAATTATTACAGGAAAACTGAAGGCTGCGGTGTAACTGTGTTGTTATTATACCAGTTGACAGTAGTTATATTATTGTCAATACAATAAGCGTTGTCGTTTATAAGATGTTCTTTATGGCTGATTGATTGACGATACTGTTTCAACGTCCGTTAATTTAATAAATTGTAAATCTGATTCTATTTGTTGGATTATAATATAAAATCCTTGTAATGTCAATTGTTCTCCAACTTCTTTTTCTGACATTCTATTTTCGTGTAATAAGTTCTGAATGATTCTTCAGGACCTCGTTTAATATTATTTAATTTTGTATAAATTATAAATGGATTCATTGGATATTTTTGAAGAAATCCATTTGTAAAGGGCCCCCAATCAGAAAGACTTTGTTTGTTGGTTTCAAACCATTGTTATGCTTCGTCGGTCAATAATAAGAAGATCCATCGTCGTTGCTCTTCATCGTTTCATTTATAAACTTCACATTTATGATTAATTAATTATAACCATTCTTGACCATTATCATTGACTCATTCAAATGTGTCTTTATAATAACTGCTGATAATATACCCTGAGAAAACAAACTCTTATATACAGTTTTAAAAGTACTGGAGAATAATACACAATGAGAACTATCCGGGACTGGGCGAACTCAGAAATGGATGTCTAGAATGTTTTCGACATCTGTCCAATGCTCCCGACAAAATGCGACAGACGTCGCAGAAAGGAGTGACATATATAAGAACGGTTATACTTTACGTAGCACCTCCTGATCTCAAAAATCGTTGTTTATATTTCCGTGTAGTCAACTTTTATCGTTTTGTCCAATAACACTCTATACTCGATTCCAGAAACTTGTTCTTCCCGGACTCACCAGGTCCGTTTGAATCATTCTTCATCAATTTATAATTTCTTCAGCGGAACAAAAATATTTGCTTCTTTGTTATGCTATATAACGTCGGATGATTAGAATTGTCTTTCATCTAGTTGCATGCATATGAGTGAATTGCAAGTCATTTGTACCGTTTAGGTCACATTTTTTAAAAAAAATGAAAGTTTAAAAGAAAAACTTTTGAAGAGTGAAATTAAGATATGGGTTATCAGGCAAGTGGAAAATGATAAGTTTCCTACTACCACTGCC